AGCTTAAAAAAACCCTGTAAAAATCAAAATTTGTCCCTCTGACACCTGGTGTCCTAGTTATTAATTTTTTCCCTAGTTACAAGTCTAATGGATATTTCTATATAATTACTTTTTATTAATGATAACAGTAATAGTAGCTGGTGCCTCTGGTGCCAGAAGGCTCCCAGCTGTGGGATTCCCTTCTGTAAGAAAATAAGATCTGTAAAGAAAAATCTCATTTTACTGCTGAAAGTCTAGGCTAGATTTTAATTTTATGTGCCAGGCCATAGCTGTGTAACTCCAGCAATAAACTCAGGCAGGAAACCTTTCCCTGGTTTCGCTTTGCTGCCATGCACGCTGTTTTACTGGTGTGATACTACTACTTATTTTTGTTACTGCCAATTACAGTAGCTACCGCACAGACTGGCCTTATGAAATATGGTTAAGGATTACTCGAAATCCTCACTGATTCTTGAACCATGATGGTGTCAGAAAATAAGCTGTCAGAATCCCGTAATGTGGCATTTCTGTAGATCATTATAGACGAGAAGGCACCTTCTGAAGCACTGAGTTGCCTACACTTGATATAATGCAAATATTTACAGTAACTTAGATTCTATGGGAGTTGTTTAAGTATAAAAATAGTTTACAAAGAAAACAGGTTTTTTAGATGGAGACCCAGCATGCATACTCAGATGGAAAATGGCCATCCCCTATCAGAAGGGCATTGGCAAGGCGCATGGAGGGCAGGAGACAACAGGCTATCCATTTCCCTCCTATTTTTTCTGTGCTTTGGTGTTCTTGCTTTCTTCCTTAATTTCTTCTCAGCTCCTCCTCCGCTGATCGTTAGCGAGAGTTGGCGGTGCTGCTCTGTGAGGTCCATTGCCTTCCCCTGTGAGCATCCACCTGAGGCCAGAGCCGTGACCAGCCATTAGCTCCCTGCTCTCGCTGAGGCAGCTTCAGGCTGGGCTTAAAGGGGAAAGAAAAAAAAACTTTTCCCCGTTACAACCAAAGCAAAATATTGTCCTTGTTGGCAGCCAATGAAAAAAAAATGCGTATTGATGTCAGTAGGATGAGGATTTCATTTCAACGTTAGGGAAAAGAGTTCATTAAAGCGTGTGAGTGCCTGTTTCTGGGGCATTGCTGTGCAGTGCTTAAAATGGATGGCTCAAGCCACAGCCTTTACCTTTTCTGCAGCCCCCACAAGCTGAGCCTCTGCTGCTGCACTTTCTGAGGAAACTTGTGCACATCTGTGGTTTCTAAAAGGAACTGCATTTAAAGTGTGAAAATGTTTAGCCCCATCAGGGGTTTTAGAAGATCCAAACTTCCTGATGTGGGATAGTTTGGGCTGATGGTGTCCTACAAAGAGCTGAGCCTACGGCAGCAAAGGTCAGGTTAGGCTGATAGTAACTACATTTGGGCTTGAAATGCTTTCGCCAGGTTGAATGTTAAGTGAATTTAATTAAATTATTTCAGTCTATGAAACAGAGTCAAGCACAGCTTATGAACAGTTCAGATCTGTCAGGACCGCCTGCCTTGAGTTCAGCTGAAATGACACTCGAAGTCGCAAGATGTTTAGTTGTGCGATGAGGTGACACGTCTCACACCATCTCTTGTGGGCCAACACTCTCCCCGTTCAGGTGACAAGAAGGCAGAGCAGGCAGGCGCTTGGCTGCAGGAGAGCGCATGCGGATGTCCTGCCGCTGCCGCAACATTCTGTTGTGAATCCCAGCATGGTCTCCCCACACTCTTAGTTTCAGCTTCCAGGACAGAAAGACAGACACGAAGTGGTCACTACATCTTGCTTTCTGGTCAGAAATAAGAATCCTTGCAGTGTGTTGAGGTGCATGGCTTTATTTGGGGTTGGTGGTAAAACCTCTGAAACTGTCACAGCATACACAGGGCAGAATGCAGTCTGCAGCCCAGTCTGCTTTCCTAGTTTTTTGTGTAAGTTTCAGCTGGAAAGAAGATTTGGCATGAAAGCTAATGGATGTGATAGCAGGAGAACTGAAACGCCAGTGAAAGCTAAATGGATCCCACCCTTGACCAAACTGCAGTTTTGCCTACCTTTAACCCCAGCATTACGCGCAAGTGTCCCTGAATGCTGTCTTTCTTCCATCCTGTAAATGAGAAAGGTCATGTCTGGCTCTTTCTCATTTAAAGTACATGTAAATCTGGGATACACAGCACATACACGATTGCAGGGCAGAACCTGAAAAGTGATCAAAACCGCCTCAAACAACTAAGCTTATTGCACGAGACGCATCCTAAGATCTGTGAGCACACACTTAGTAGTGATACGTTTTTACAGTCTCAGTAGATGGCACTAAAGATGACAAAAACCGGCACATAACTTGTGTAGCAGAAACAAGGGGCAAGGGCCTGTGAGGGGAGGGCAAGGTCATTTATTTTAAGTGTGCAACTGCATTCTCGATGTATTTGGCTGTAGCTTTGCCCGTGCAGGTGAGCAGCAATGCGCACATCAGTTAGGCATGCAAACCAGAGCTGAGCTGGCAACGCGAAGCGGCGTTGAGAAGTAAGAAAGGTAGGCAGCTACACTGGAGGGCTGGGCTTCCAAATCTTTTGAAAAGGCAGCATTGTGTTTTGAGTTATGGTGCAAAGCTACCTGGTTACAGGCTCAGCTAGGGATCCTGGTCAGGACCCGCTGTTGAGGGAAAACTTTCAAGATGCCCCATTCTTGGGGGGGGTTATTGCTCCTTCCAGGATCACCTACTCAGGCTGATGGACAGGTATTTTGTCCATGGCTTTCCCTCGCACCATGGCCTTCTCTTGTGGTGCCTCAAATAACCTGTGGGAAGAGCCTGTGGTGTGCAGGAGGTGATGTTGTGCCTGGTTGTGGTGCAGGGGATGGGAAATGCCTGCATTCCGTGTGCCACCTCCTGGCTGTGGTACCTGTATAAACAGCTTTCTGATAGGGCTTGCCAAGTCAGATCTAACACCCCCCACTTCCTTGCTTCTAGTCTCCAGGTGCATTGTTATAAATTTAGACACAAAGATTTTAAATGCTCCTGCAGCTGTGGGGCAAAATTTGTGAATAATTGGCTTACTAATAATACGTAAAATCTCCTCTCCTTATCTTCTTCCCTTCCTCCTCTCCTAATTTTTTTGATTCTAGATCCACTAATAGTTTATTAGGGATCTTTATCTGTCCAAGTGTGGGCACAGATGAGAGGACTTGTGCTGATAGGGAACAGCAGGGCACTGTTGAGAACCTTTCCCTGAATTTAAAGAATAAAATAACCTGTTTTGTTGTGTGTGCAGTTTGGTGCCCAGATCTGTGATGCTGGACATACGAACGCTTTGTTTTATTCTGCAGTAGTTTAAAATTTTCTTCCTGAAAATGTTCACGTGTGTCCAGTTCATCTTAATGGGTGATCAAAGTGCATGTGCTGAAGATGTACTCTTCAGTGTTTGGACAGTTGTATCAACCTAAATATTTTAAGGGCTGTTGAACTTAGAGGCTACAGCATGAGGCATTAGATCATCGTGAGCCAGACTGGAGAGCTGTCACCATATAACTTCCATTGACACCTTGTTGCTCGTGGCTACCATCAGTCATTGTTTGTATGGGAGACAAGAGAGTGTGCTGTTGTAGGGAGCTACAGACACACCAGGATGATAGAGTAGTCCAAAATAAAAGAAGAATTATTTAAAGGTGAATGAGTTGCACTTAGATAATAGAGGTACAAACCAACTCCAGACACAAAAGAGCCCCTGCCCTGTCTGTAATCCTCTCTAGATGAAAGGACCTGATCCTGCAAATCCCAGGGCCAGGGATGTGGGGCTGTCTGCTAGGGGTGGTTCCTGTGGCTCCTTGGCATCGGTGATGGTGCTCGTCACTGGGGCCTACAGCTGCACAACACGCAGCCCCCTGCTGTGTTTGAGGGGCTTGGAAGACCTGTCTGCAGAAACCAAGGGAAACCTTCCCTCTTCAGGGACACATTAAGTTCAGAAGACAGTAGGCAGCAGTGCTCAGGGAGGGTCTGGGTGATGTGCCTGCACTAGTGGGAGGCCTCCTTTGAAAAATGCCCTCAGTCTGCAAAACAGAACAAGAAGGCCAGGGTAGCTCAATTTTTCTACTTTGAGGCTTTTTTCCCCTTTTATTCTGCCCAGATTTAGAGCCTGATAAGAACCTCTCAAGTGGGAAAAGTGCAGAATCTCAAAACAGAAGCATAAGAGTTTTTCTTGGGTATAAAATTTCAGTCAATAATGTGCTGCTGCCTTATTGACATGAAAATAATGCCTTTCATGTGATACAAACATTTACTTGCTCCTGCTTACTCTACTCACCTTGTACAGAAATACTGATTGCCATTGACTAATCAGTCCATTTTTGTATATTCTCATCAGACTCTTTCTTTGGCTGGAACAATATGCACTGTATGATGCTTGCATGTCTAATAATTTGTTATTAGCACTTTGTATATGCCTTTGTTACTTCACAACTAACAGTTTGGCCTCCAAGTGCATGCATTTGTGTAAATTAATGTGTTACAAAATAATAGATTTTTTTTGTTATGTTTGTATTAATATAGGAGATGTGTAAGATATACATAAAGACACTGATAATTGCCATTTAGTCACTGGCAGAAGACATTGTTCAGCTTGTATTTATACAATCGCTGTTTCTATTTAGGCTTCATAATGCCATGTCTATCCTTTAGTTCTGTATTTATTCAATTGCAGATTGTTTGTTAATTTTATAATGATTAATTACAGTACCACATAAAATAGTTCAAGAAATTGTTTTTATTATGCAATACAATTCTAGTACAAAGTAGGAATTTTTTTTTTCTTCCAGTGTTCCTGAAAGCTATAAATACCTTTATTCGTATCATGAAATTATTAGATTACTGATTAAACAACTTTATCCCCCCAATATTGAGCTAATAATAAGCTATATACTTGGTTCTGAACCAAGCTTCAGAGTAATGGCAGTTGCTGTTGCAGTGCTAGGACCCAGTGACATCACATTTATTTTGTGTGTTTCAACATCTCAGGACACTGTCTCCTGCAAAGTCTCCGTCTTCGTCCACTGGATCCATCGCTTCCAGCAGAAAATACCCTTACCCGATGCCACCACTTCCTGACGAGGAGAAAAAAGCCAACAGGCAAAGTGCCAGGGTACGTGTCCCTCTTCTCTGTGCATTTTGTCAGTGACTTTGAGTTACTGGTGGTTTTTCAGAAGGAAGGCGTGGCAGATCAACGTCTTTGACTAACAGTGACAGCAGCAGTGGCGTTTCCTTCGTACCCGTAACCCCAGAAGCTGCTGAAGGCTGAGCCTCTGGCAGCAGTTAGGGCAGCCTCGGTGGCTGCATTTACAGATACCCGTTCAGGCTGCTCTTAAGCCTGCCCTGAAGCCCAGATTTCAGCAGTTGTCTTATTTCAAGCTGGGAGTGTGCCTGGGGCAGCCTTTGGGCTGCGGAGGACGGGCAGCCCGGGAGCAGGCGGCGCATCTGGCTCTCCTCCCTTACCCCTTCCGGGGAGCTGATGCAGCCAGCGACTCTTACTCGGTCTGGGGGATAGCTGCTTTCCAGCTTTATGGAAAAGTAACTGCGTTGCTGTCGAGGAGGATGTGGAGGGCTTGTATCAAGCCCTTACAGACCTGGAGGGACTTTGCTGCCGCGTGCCCTGAGCCCACCGTGGTCCCCCAGGGTGGGCAAGAACCCCTGGAACGTGGTCTGGATGGTGATGCTGCTCCGCAAGGAGAGATTTGCAGCTGCTGCCAAAAGCTAGCTGTTGCTTCCTATGTGTCAATTCAGGCATAGCAGATGTTTGAATAAGCAAAAAACCATCTGAAATTTACTTCAGGAGTTTTGCTTGTGATAGGTTTAGTTCATGTTCCTGATGCAGGTGAGATTCCCATCTCTGCTCTCTGTCCTTTTTTTCCAAGAAAAAAAGGAGTGGAGAGCTGCTGAGGGGACCTGCATGCTGCTACGCCCACGTCCTGCTTGGGGCAGAAAGTTGGGGGGAGGGGGGCAGCACATGGTCTCCCAGGGGCACGTGGAGCAGAGTGGCTTGGAGGAAGGCTTGCGCTGATGTTTCTCAGCCCTGGAGCTGCCTTGGCGCCAGCTCAAACCCATGGCAGAAATTTGTACTGTCCTGAGCAGAGTTAGGCAGAAGAGAGTGGGAAATTACATTAATATTCGTTAGTGTAACTGCAAGGTAAAAGCCGTCTAATACAACGTTGATGCTACGCTGACATTTTTCCTTCAAACTCTCCGCGCTGCCAGGCATGGACATTTACTGCTTGAGACTGCTGACTTTGTGGTCTGAACAGATAGCTGCCAGAGGCTGGGAGGAGAGCAAGAGCGTAGCCTTGGTGACCCAAGCGATGTAGATGCAGTTCCCCTAACAAGCTCCTCGCACTGTTTGGGTAACAGCCTGTTTTATCTTGGTGTTCAGTGTGTGTTTGTGTTCCTTTTCCCCCTCTCCAGCTATGGGAGACGTCCATTTAGCTGCACTGTTTTCCTGGGGTGACATCAGAATTGTTTACTTCGAATTTTATAGAAACTCAGCATCACTGAGTCACTGCACATTCATCTGCTCTTCAGACAATTTGAAAGATCAACAGAGATGCCGGGAGCGATGCCAACAGTGATGCAGTGAGAACCTCCTCTCATCTGGAAGGGAAAAAAGCAGTCTTTTTTTTCTTTCTTTTTTGTTGACTAGTATTTTATGGATTTGATGAACAACCAGAATCATAACAATTACCAGGGGATAATTAGCCCGGACGCGACAAGGCTATTCTGCATGATGACAGATACACTTACCTAGAATCCCAACTGCAGTCTGTTTGCCAGTCCCGCGTAAGAGAGTTTTTTCTCTGGTTTAATGCAGTCCTGAGTCAGACCAGAGTGGAACTGGGAACGCGCCTTCTGGACAGCCCAGCCAATGTAAACTTGTACGCTGTATGCATGAACCTTGTGTTCTTTACTTTCCACATGTAAGGGATAAACAACATACTGTAGTAGAAATTAGCATGCAGGAGTAAGAAATATAGGATTTTTTTGTGACAGGATTTCAAGCTTTGAAAGGCAACTATTTGACACAAACGTCAAACAAACAAGGATTATATCTTTTTTTTACCTTATGTGTTTATAATCTCAGTATACAGATTGTATATATGTAAACATTTGATAATGTCAGAAATAGCTGTTATACATAAGTGTATTTTGCCAAATGCCTAAAGAAACAGTCATGACTAACATCACCACACTTCAGATTTTCTAATATTACGAGCAGACAACTTTGGAAATACAGAAAGTACAGTACTGTAAAACTGTGTCTCTCAGAAACTGGTGTTTGGCCAAAATCTATACTATCTTTTCAGTATCTTACACTGTCTTGACAATCTCAATTCTATGGTGGACTGCAGAAACCAGTGCAGCGGCACTTTGGTTTAAATTGTCGTAAGAGGAACCAGCCAAAATCCGTTGTTCAGTGAGATGACCGGCGTATCCTCTCACAGGTGTAATCAAGAATGATTCGGCAGACCACAGAGACAGAGTCTTTAAGAAGTGCGCAGTCCAAACTTCCTGGACATTTGGGAATACTTCTAAGTAGTCAATTCAGGATGTGGTGATGTGAAGTCCTTCTGGTGAGAGTTGCTGTGTATTTTTGATAGAGCATTTCAGACACTGTTCTAGATGGCAAGGCGTAGCTAGCGTGAGAAGCATAACGATTGCACTGCACTAGATAATAACAGTGCTGGGCAAGTGGCCAGTTTCATTGCTGTCTTTTAATTTTTATTTGTTACTGGAATCGCCTTTACCATGCGCTTGAACGCTATGCTTGCTGCCCCTGAAGCCCCCTTGACAATTTTTGGGGGCATTAAACTGAGTACAAGTGAGTTTAGCCTAAAAAAACGGGGTGGGGGGGAACAAACCCTTTACCATGGAGATATTAATCTTGTGTATAAGTGGATGGTTAGATTTCTAACACCTGAGATTTCTAAACGTTGTTGTAAAACAAATGTCTTTTGATTGGGAATTTTGAGTCAGTAAGAAACTGGACCGTATTAAATCAACTTAGAATTCTCCAGCTTTCCAAAATCGACTAATTCTTAGCTTCAGGTGGTACCATTGCAGAATGAAACACCCGATTCTGTGTGGTGCAGTTGAATACCTTGCCCAACAGCTGTATGATCAATTAGATATTATTGTGATGGGAACATCTACGGTGTTTCTAAATCTTCTACCTCTTTCATGTATTTCCTTTAATAAGTGAACCCAACACTTGCAGCCTTTTAATATATTTTTTTAACTTTTAAGTCTCTTGATAAAGTCAAATATATGTAAGATTAAATTAAGAAACGTTTAAAGATGTCAGCAACTGTAAAGTCTGTAAGATTTTTAGAAACACTATATTTTATGATTAGGCTGTGTGTTGGATTATGACAAAATATTGGCCTTGGAGTTCAAATGATTTTGCTTCACAGTCCACAGGTTCTGGTAAGTATTTTGGAGAAAGATAAATATGAGTGAGTACAAGTCCATGCAGACAGACCATCTGGAAGGAGCCAGTCACTTGTAATTGCTTTAGGAAAAGTTTCTGCACTTCTGTGAAGACTAAATATCCGTCAGCACTGAAGAATATTTTTTGCAAAGATTTACTTTGAGTGTAGGTAACTGGTTTAAAGAAAGTTGGTGGCGTATAGCTCATGAAATTAGGGCCTGAGCCATAATCACTTGAAATCAGTATGTCTTTTATTGATTTCACTGGACTTTGAGCAGGACCCTTGTGGAAGTCACCTGCATGAGGACATTATGCTAACCCGACAGCCTCTGTGTTATTCTGTCACCTGGAAGCTGTTTTTCCCTTGCATATTAGTATCTTGTCATTAGTAACTGGACTGTTCATCATGTGCCTTTTACGGTATTTTGGTTGGATACAAACTGGCACGTAATTCTGAATAATCCTGTTAGATTTCTGTGCATATTTTGTTTACCACTGTTTACTCTTCCCTTTCCATTTTGCCTTATCAAGAAGCAGCAAGATTTGGCAGACTGAACTGGATATAACATACTGGCTCTTTGTGTAAAGTTCATAGCTTCTTGTTTTGCAAACAAATGGCTCTCCTGACTGTATTTTCAATGTAGTATGTACTTTCAACTTCTCTCTTGTTTTGGTATAATTCATTCGTAGCATATGATGATACAGTTACGTGTGTAGTGTAACTTGAACAGTCACTTTCACATTTGGAGATATGTAGAGATTGGAAGTCTAGTTATGAGCACTAAGTTTAAGTTGAATAAATATTGACGTTCACTTTGATGGTCTAGAGTGAGAACATCACAGGACTTGGGGTTTTTGCAAAATTCTTCCGCAGAGAATTTTGCATCAGGTTGGTAACTTGGAGACCTTGTCATTGCACAAGACCTGAATGAGTAGGGCTGTGTGAGCCTCCAAAGCCAGCGGAGGTCAAACAGAGAAGTTGCTTGCTTACATTTTGTGGTTTTCTACTTTTAAAATGTAGTGTGTTGGAAAGCTGCCAGATTAATAACCTTGAAGACTACAAATATTTTTATCCGCTGTAGTTAGTTACACTGGCAATAGCAATATAAATTGCCACATAATACCTCATCCAGTCTGTAATAGAGTACTTGTATTGTCAATAGGATAGCTCAGTCATTTTGACTCATTGAGACTCATGCTCTTATTTTAATAAATGAACTAGTTATTGCCAGTTATGCTGTAGATGCCTGTTGAAGTGGGGAGGTTATCAGCTCTTCTCAATACATTGCAAGTAATTGTCCATATGAGCATAGGACCTGCAGGATGAGGGTTATGTATTTCAGATGTGGGAGAAGAATCTTCTAGAATTTAAAATACAATTAATATGACTAACTGATGCAGACTGGAAAATAGAGATTGTATCTGAATACTCCTGCACAATGATTCCACAGTTTACGGACTAAAAATTCACCTGCTAATTCTGAATTTGTTGACATAAGAACTTCAGTAATCCATATTATAGACTTTTGGTGAATATACTCAGGCAGTTTACCAGAAATGGTTGTGACTGATTCATAATTTACATATTATTTTTTTATATTTAAATCCATAGTTTTAAAGAGGTTGTTCATTTTATACAGTCTATCTCTGCATAAGTTGTGAACTTAAGTCACTACTTGCCAGTTACCTGACTTGGAAGTGTGACTTGACTTTGAAGATAGCTACTTCCAAATGACTTAAGAGTTTCATTCCTGATTTATGAGCTGTTGAACCTGCTAAGCTGATGTGCCCATTAGATAATTTTGATTGTGCTAATGAACAAATGCACCTTTGGGTTATAGCCTGAATTAAAATCAGAAAGAAACTGTATCAATAGCTAGCATAGTGACATCCTCTTACCTGAATCCCTGTTGCTGGTTTTAAATGAACTGAGTGGTCTTGTCAACACCAATGTGACAACTGTTTTCAAAACCAGGGCTAAGAACAGGTACATACACTATTACAGGCATGCATATACTACAAATTCTGACCAAATTTGCAGTTATTTCATTGCTTAATGAATAGGATAAGATGTAACGTAAAACAATGATAAGACTCTGTAATCCTGTGGGATAACAGGTTAGCTCTTAGGACTTGCTCTGTCATCGAATCCCATACCTAGCTGTTGTAAGCAAACTTGCCAAACTCCACTGGAAAACTCAGCAAGCTCCTGTTCTTCTCTTTTGGCCCCTTTCTGCTCTTACTGAAAAGCATTTCCATGAATGATAATTACATCCACTAACAGCCTCTTGTGTTGGTTGGCTAAGATCAAAAAGCTGCTACGTCACCTTTCCACGCAGTGTCCTGGATAAGGTTTTTCCAGTGCTGTTAATACATCTTCTGCTCTTGCTACAGTGTAGGTGATGCATCCTCATGTCTCATGTGCAGTTTGCACTGGTAAAACCATTTGGTGGCTCAGCCATCCTGTGTCTTTCTCACCCTCTGGCACTGTTGAAAGCTAAGCCTCTTTAATCACCGAGTCTGTGAACCTGAGTTGTGCTGTGTCCTATTTCTCTTGCTCCAAGTCTGAAGATCATCCATGTCTTTCTCTAAGTTGCTGAAGTATCTGTATCATTAGCAGAAGGTTTGGGCCACTGTTACTAACCACAGTGTGAGGTTATTTACCTCATTTTTAAAGAGCTTGAGCATTCTGGTCTCCGCTGGAGCCAGTTTTTTGTCCAGAATGGATTATCCATCAGACTGCTGAGCTGATGACCCACTATTTGCATGGCTTCCAAACCATATGAGACATCAGCAATATCGGATTTGACTTTGATCAGATTTCCTGAAGACAAATATGAGTAAACTGCACACATACATACAGCTTGTCATCCCATGACTGCATGGTGGTGTAACGTTCCTGTGTACACATAACTATTACCCTAACAGAGCAGGAAAAAAGGAAATGGTGAAACTGCACGTGTAGACATAGCTGTGATACAGATAGGACTCTTAAGTGTGATTTCAACAGGAAATTAAGTAATACCTCCTATCATTACACTAAAAAACTCCTTTGACCCAAGCTTACAAAAAACATTTCTGGTGCCTCAAGTATGGATGCTAATGTAAACTAAAGCTTTGGAAACAGTAGCTCGTACACCCAGCAGGTGGTATCTTGTCATTCCGCAAGTTTTCTGCAACTATTTAGAGAAGCACTACAACAGTCAACATTAACATGTTATCTTAGCCAAGTAATCAAAACAAGCGGTAAAAGTAAGTTCAGAACACAGAAATGTGGTTGGTTGCTGACACTTGAGAAGCTTTGTACCTGACTTCAAAATTGGCTCACCTAGCCAGGTCTGGGGGGGTTTAGTTCTCTAAAATCCAATCTACACCAGTTTCAAAATCACTTTAGCTAAGCCAGCTTTGAACTGTTTAAAAACTTCTGCTATGTAGACAGGCCGTAATTGCAATATAATTCGGAATGAGATGAGGAAGACTGGGGAAAGTAAGCTCAGAGCAGTTAAAAAGAAACATGTTCTCTAAGGGAGAATAGGTTGTCTTACACTATTTTTAATTACTAGAGCATAAAATGTCAAAGCAGCAAGCTACTTTTTTTTCTGTTTCTGTATTCCTCTGAATAAACAAAGTTTTGGTTAAAAAAAAAATCCTAACATGAGGCCTTAAGACCTTATATATTCTAACTTTAGCATGGAGAGTCTATTTTTACAACCATGTTAGAAATTCTGTATATAGGCCTGACTGACCTTGTAAGTATAGTGGTGCTAGCAGTTAATCATGCAATATTGTAAGGCTCTGTATAACAGTAAATGCTGATTTATTTTGATTATGGGTACAAGGACTCCCGCTCACTGCCTGTGTAGAGACTCTGCATATTTTATGCTTGGAAATACAGTCCAGAACATATTCAAACTGTGACTATATAACCTGATTTTTCTTTTCTTAAGGGTGAAGATATATTACTATAGGTAGTGTTTTATAGAGAATACAGTACTTATTTTTATTGTTGCATAAATGCAAAATATTTTTTTCAGAATAGCAAAGCATTACATAATTTTTAATCCGCTGGAGAAAACACTATTTACAGTATGACCAGTTCTTTCAGCAAAGCTTTTGGGGTGGTATATACCAGTTGGCTCTGCCAGCTTCATTTTGTGCTAATGTTTATCTTGGGCATTGCTGTAAAAAAAAAAAAAAAAAAAAAGCTATCTATTTTTTCACTCATACTAGCCCTTACTGGTAAAACATTTAGAGAGGCAAGGAGAATCGTGTTTCACCACTGGGGCTGGGCTAGCATTAGCAAAACCAACCAGTCCACACCATATTGTTGTCTTTGTTAGTTAAAATCCTTTAAAGATCATACCTGATGTAACAGAAACATAAGATTTTGACAAACACCAAAACGAAGCGTTGCAATTTACAACTTCTAGCTTTGACTGTGATATTTTTGTCATCTACATTACAGGCATTGGGCTGTTGAAGTGAATGAATCTGGCTTTCATGTAGCTAAACAAAATGTTGCTTTTTACAAAATCAAATCATTGTAATTTGGGGTTCTAAATTCCTGCTGACTTTTAATAACAGCATCACAGTATCCACTTCTATGAGAGTATTTAATACAAATGCCTGTGGTTTTCAATGTTACTAACATACTGTAACATCAGTAAAGTGACTTTCAACGACAAAGACTGTTGTGTGTATTTTGTTCTAAGTTCTTATATTTAGCACTTCCTACTTTATAGGTCTCTAAAAAAAAAAGATGCTGCGTGCATGGGAAAAAAAAGGCTAATGGCTAATAATAGAATACAGATGCTATTTTAATAGAATACAGATGTTATTTTTCAAATGCTAGGGTTGAAAATGATCCTGTGAGCTTCCCAGTCTTTGCCTTAGGGTCCTACTGTTTTCAAGGCAAATCTAACTGCATGTCTGAGGTCAACCTAGAAAAATTATCTACATTCTGAACTGTGCCCAATTGTTTGCACAAAGGTCAAGAGCAATCACCCCACTTCGTATCACATAAACATCTTTCCCAGTATGTGTTTTGGGAAAGAGAAACCCTTACTGCTGAATTAAAAATAACTATTTCTCTAAAGCAGGTAACTTGCATATGCAAATTAGCCACTAAACCAACTCTTAATGGGGAAGTGATTTTCACATAGGTTTCAGGGGGCATTTTTAGCTAATGACAGCAAATTCTGTAGTCACTCCTTAGCGACTGTATTTATTATCTTAGTTTATGTCTGAACATGAAAGATGATTTATCCTATCAGACCCTATGAATACCATGGATTTTCAAAATGCTTATGGAGAACAAAAAGCAATTCTTTCTTGGGTAAGCTAGAATTTGTTTCTGGTTTTGGAGCTATTTGCTTTCCAGTTTTCTCTGTTTTGTGTTTACAAGAAGATCCCTGATGAAAACCCTGTTGATTCACACTGTTGTTCTTGCACCATTTCATTGCCCAGTAGCTGGCTGTTGCCAAAATAGTAATTCAGCCTGGGGAAATAAACTGAGAAAGACTTAGCGTATTTGTTATTGGTCCTCTTCTTTCATTGCTCTAGACACCTGTTATGCCTCTCGTTAAGCTGAACACATTTTTGAAGCAATGCTTTTATTTGTAGGCGCATTTTTACTCCCATGTGTTATTTAATCAATAATTCTCACGATTTATTGCATAACTTCATACCTGTACAGGTATGTGGAACTTCGGGGGAGTCTCAGATCATTTAGTAAGTTACGCTTATCTCCAAGATTAATAAGTTACACTGATCTACAAGAATGTTATATTAATTATTGCCTGATGTTTTCTTTCATTAGTAGTTTCAGGCCTGCAGTGGGTGGAGAATTGGAAGAGCAAAAGCAAAAAAAAAAAAAATTGCAGATGAAGGTAAAACAGCTTAATAAGGAAAAGAAGCAGGGGTGGGGTGGGGGGGGGGAGCCATGCAAAGGCAATTGCCAGCTCCCACCAGCAGATCAATGCCCAGCCAGGCCCCAAGCAACAGCTACTTTGGAGAGGCTTATCCATCCCTGCCCGAGGGTTATTGCCACGTTACGGGGCATGGAATACCCCTTAGGTCCATTCAGGTCAGCTGCCCCCGCTGCGTTCCCTCCCAGCCTCTCGCCCACTCTCAGCCTACTCACTGGGGTCGCAGAGTGAGAAACGGAGAAGACCTTGATGCTGTGCAAGCACTGCTCAGCAACAGCTAAAACACTGGTGTGTTATCAATGCTAGTTTAGTCATAAATCTGAAACGCAGCACCCTACAGGCTGCTATAAAGAAAATTAATTTCATGCTAGTCAAATCTAATACAAGACCAGAAACACAATTAAGCAAAAGTACGAGAGAAATATGTGGGTAATGAGCATTTTGAGAAATATGTCTCATCTTTTTTGGGGTAAAATTAACAGTGTAAGGATGAATACTGTATTTATGCAAAATGGTCTAATCAAAACCCTAGAAGAACAGCCTTTGCTTCATACTCAATTTACTAACTTGATCAGCTGCCAGAGTTTTGAACTGCAGCAGAATTATATTGGCTACTTCAGTCACACAAACCTTTATGGACTTTGGTCATGTTAGAAATGCCTTCTGTAGCATTCCATGTCTGCTTCTCAACTGTATGTGCAACAGGAGTGTACAATTATCAGAATGTGGAAGTATAATCATGTTTATGCCTTTAAAATTCATTTTTGAAGACAGAAAGAGAACTAGCTTCTGAAATGAAACTAGAAGCAATACCCAAAGGATTCGGAATTCAAGTAGTAAGTACTAGTTGCTTCTTTAGGTGAGACCAGCCAGCTTTGAATATATAGCCCAGAAACCAGAGACCTAGATTTTACAGTATTCTTAGCAAGCTAGGGTATAAAATAGTATCTTCAAGCAAGATGTCTGCTCCAAGGATTATTTGTGTTGCTTGTCCAGTGACATATAGACACATATATCTATATATACACATGCATGTATAGTTTTGCTTTCGTTCCTTAGTGCAAAGGCTCCTCCCCAAAAGTGCTCTAAACCACTAATATAATAAACAAACTCCTTTTAACATTCTGGCATTCTTTGCATTTACAAGGCTAGCAAAAGAACATCTATCACTCCTCTGTGGTAGGTAGAAGTGATCAAAATTAACAAAAGTTTCATGAACGTATTTCATTGGAAAAAAAGTTTGAACTACCTCCTGCTGCTCCCTCTTCCCATAAAATGTCAAGCTTCCCCTCAAAACCCCAACCAAAACCCACCACCAAACAAAAACCTTTTTCCCCTGAAAAATCTCAGGCAAAGAAGTCTTGCCTTTCTGTATCTGCTTTCATGTAAATTCTACAGCATTGGTAATTACTGCCATGATCTGAAACAGTAATCTGGCAAGAATTTTTCAAAGGGGGGTTTGGCCCTTGTATGTCAGTGGGCATATAGAGGAAGGAAAGGCTACTTGTTAGGGTTTGCAGTGGAAGAGATGATAGAAACATTAATTTACACGTAACTAAAGTCTGGCAGCATAGAAGTTCATTGCTAAAGGGAAAGTCTATATATAAACTGACACAGCATAGTTTTTGTATGTTTAAAAGTGTTTTATATAGTGACACAAACAGAGCAAGAATCTTACTGAACAAAAGCCCCCCCTACAAGAGCACACTGCTAGAAGAGTTCTCTGCTATGTTTTGTCGCATCCCTGAAGTTCTATCACGAAGTCTTACACTCAGTGCATGGTATCACAGACTTCATCTTGAAAATAGCTAGCTGTCAAAATAAGCAACTTAAACTTACTGATGTTGTAACAGACCAGCGTAAAATGAGCATTCCAAGAGCTCTTTCAGTTTGTACATGTGTCTTATACTGTCAAAGACAAAAGAGTATGTTTCATCTTATGTCATACACATGACACTATTTAAGACAGAAAAAGGTAAGTTGTGCTCCAGGAACTGGTTTTAGTGAATCACGGGAAAGAAGTAAAGACACTACGGAACAACCTACCATCTGCATAATTCGAGCTATACATAGTGAATTGCAAGTTTATGAAAATAAAAACATCTTTAATAGTCACAGGCTGAAAGTTAAAGATGACAGTACATGAGTAGTTTATAGTCATTATCAAAACTAAAAAAAAATGCAAGTGTGTAAAGCGATACCTTCATAAAATATGCAATTTCCCATATTGAGATACACAATCATTCGAAGATTTGGCAAAGCAAAACACAAACTGGAATGTTAGTCGTGATCATCCATAGCTTGCTTCCTTTTGATTTAGACGCTCATAACACACTGTATGAACTGAAAAAAGAATAACCACTTATTAGAAGTATGGTAGACAACAAGTTTTTACTTTTTCTCCCAAAATACTCATTGTTACTACCCTTTTCTGTAAACAAATTCAGTCCACGAACAACAAAGCTTTGAAACCAAATATGAAAACTAGCTAATAGTTTATTAAAATAAAGCATCTCCTGAATAATAACAACAAAAAACCCAGGAATACGTGAATCCAGTGTTCTCCTTTTCCTGCACAGATGCAGCCAGGAAGCCAAGACCTACAAGCCTGACTGTGATTTGTGTTTGTCCCCACCACACCTCCCCCAACCTTTCCTGGGAAAAATGCCTACCAAGCCTTAAAACAAAAGAAGAAAAAAAAAGTCACAGAATGTGATGTTAGCAAGCAACTTAGCCTCTTAGATCTTCTTGAACCACACTGGTAAGAAGTCCAGACAAAAATGCACAACATTGTATAGAACTCTATACAGTATGTGAAAATTTTTTGGGACAATACTCAACAAAACCCAGAACCTTTGTGCTCTCAGGTAACACCGTAAGCGTAGGGAAGACAGGCAGAAACTCAAATCATTACTGTTTGTCTTCAGTTTTAAGTTTTTCTTTAGTTTTACCTGTAACTTTAACTGATTCCTTAAAGTTCACTTACATCATCATACTGGAAGTTCACAAAACCCTGCTGAGATATATCCCTTCTTCTAAAACATTCTGCAAAAAAGCATTAAGAAAACAAAACAGAAACCAGGTAAGAAGAATTACAGTTAATGAATTTTTTTTTAAATGCATTGTATTTTGATTAAATTCCCCAAGTCACACGAATGAGAACTCATGAAGAACACTGCAATTCACGCTAAGACTTAATTTCCCATTCTTCATTTTCATATTTATCACATACAACCCTTTATGTTCTGTTGATAAACGCAGTTTCCCAATTTTATTAACTTAACTCTTCTGTTCTCTGGAATAAACCCTGCATTAGTTTAAAGTCCATTTTTCAATGGGGATTTAAAGAATCATAATCTGTAATTGTTCCAGTTCTGTCTGTAAACTCTATTGAAAGAAACGTATTTTGTGTTACACAGAAGTTAACGTTGGACTTGAGATAACTGAGTAATCAGGTTTTATTAAATAAAAATATATTATGGGGATGATAGTATCAAGGCTATAATCCAGCTTACCAGTGAGAGCTCTGAGTTTCACACAGCAGGCAATGTAATCATCAAATGTAATCTTTCCACGAGTGCTGTATCGCCTTGTGATTGCACTCACTGCCTGTGGGCTCAGTCTAAATCCTATTTGAAAATAAAAAGTCTATATTGAAAAGACAGGTAAGTCAACAGAATCCAACACGTTTTTAATTGGAAGTATCATATGTCAGCTACTGCGGGATGATAACTTGTACTGGGAAATGCTGTAAGTCAGTGTCAGAAGCAAGAACATTTCACAACTTACCCATATTCATCAAGGCTTTCTCCAGTTCTTGACGGTCCACTGTACCACTTCTATCATTGTCAAAAGTTATGAAGTGTTGCTTCCAGCCATTGACCACAGCCCAGAGTTCTTTAAATTCATTAAATCCCAGTGTGCCAGACATATCCCTCTGATTCCAAAGCTAAGAAAAATATTTCTTAACTTAAAAAATAATAAAAAAGCCCTCTCTTCAGTGGAAATTTGTATTTTTATCATCTGTAGTTAAAAACTCTTTCTTGAAGGTCAATATTAACAATACTTTACTATTACTAATTTCTCCTGGTAGAAAACTAACTACAGCATCCCACAGCACAGAGATAATACTACTGACCAAAACCAAAGGTCAGAGAACTTGCTCTCCCCACTTCTTCTCAGTGAAACCTGATAAAACTATTTGCTCTTTGTGAATTTAACTTAGTTCACACTTCTTTTACCTGCTGCAGTGTAATTGTTACCACTAAAATACATATCTGAAATAAAAATAGATGCCAAATGAAAAATTACTTTAAGTTAGAATAATATCCGTTCTCTCACATTCCAAGCAGTTTGTTCAAGGTGAGCTAACAGCCCTTCCAGTTTCATTTCTGTTTTTTTTTTCTTTTTAAACAGCAAAACATTTGAACATGACAATTTAAGTTTTGACTAAAAAAACTCCAAAGATTCCAACCTTGCACAGTATACCTAAGTCTTCCATAGGTCCTACTGCTGAATGCCACATACCATCTCATTAGATAGTTGAACCCGATTCATTCAAGGAACAAGATTTAGGGGGACTTACATTGTATTCAGGCTGTGTAGTACAACTGCTTAGTTCCCGAGGAAGGACAGCTACAATGTTATCCAATTTCAAAAGCACAACAAGCGATTTGTACAAAACTACTCTGAGTTGCCAGACCTGACTCTTCATACATTCAATGAAGAAACAGTCCCCTAGGCTTAGAGGGGTACCACTTGTTGGAAGATCAGTCACTGAGAGCCTCATTTATTAGGATTATTATTTCATCCAGTAAAATGACTAAGAATGGAATTTTGTAGTTCCCCAATTATAATGATCATAATACTTACCAAAGAAGAGCTGAATGGGAATTACAAAGCATTTCCCAAATTTTGGGCACCCTCTCATCTTTGCTTACGTAATGCAAAAATGTTTACATTTCATACTAAAGGATACATCCAACATTGAGATCATGAGTCTGCAAGTCTCTAAGTTGAAAGCTGTTTAAATTAGAAAAAGGAAAAATAAGTTATATTAGAAGAATGAGTTTCAGTTTTGTCTAAATGTATCATTTTAAACTGCTTCTTATTATACACTGATAATAACGTACAAAATATATCACTGCTTCCACTGTACACATCCATACCGTATTTTGATCCAAATAAGAGCTTTCAATCATTACTTGTCAGAAAAACTGACAGCAGACAATCTGGAGGCAATTAAAGTTATTTTTAAAATTAATTTGCTCTTATCTCAATCCATAAAGGTTTTGGGTTTCAGTCAAAGTGGTCATTTATGTTTCACCACTTGAGGAAGCCAGTTTTACTCACAGAAGCTCAATTTTGTAAACTAGGTATTCCAACAAAGGAGTCCTACCACAGAATTTTCTGGTCAATATGAAAGCTCAATTTAAAAACAAAGCAAAACATCTTTTTTAGAATTGGCTGTCCATTACAAAACAAAACACTTCTCCAACTCCACAGCTCAGCAGTGAGGCACTAAGGAGGCTGAGAAGGGAAGTCTTATATGCACAGAACTGAATACAGAGAATTTATGTTTCGAAGTAGTCCATATGGAAAGCAAGCATACAAAGAAAAAACCACCCCCAAAACCCAAAACCTCTGCAGAAGGCACAACTGCAAGCATTTTCTAGTAGATGGCAGAAGAATTAGTATGCCTTAGGGCTGGGGTTTTTTTGGTTTATTTAAATCATTAACTTACGTTTATACGCTCCTGCAATCCCTGACTGGGTGAGACATCTCTGTAGCTCATCAGCATCTATTTGTCCATCCTTTCGATAACAGAAGATGTATCAGCCACTGTTTTAATTCCCTCTCCCAGGCTGGTTATTCCCAGTACCCACTCCCTTTTCACTAGCATTAAATTAGTTACCCCTTCAAAAACAACTGATTACCTGTCTGCTATATGACAGAAACTGCCTTAAAAAACCCATATGCGTAATGATGTTTCTTTAGTTGATATTTTTGCAATATGCATTAGCGTTCCCACCTAGTGATGTACTAAAAAATGAACAGGATTGGCAGGTTTGCTCTAAACTTAACTTTAAAAAACAAACAAACCACCATATTCACATCAAATTGGTACCGTGTACTTGAAAGCCAGCTGCATAGGAAACCAAGGCACAAAATTTTGAACAGAAAGACAGCTTTGCTTAAAGTACTAATTTTAACTTAGTGGGTATTGTAGTCACTTTAGATTATATGTTTACGATCTCACTGCTACAGCAGGAAACCTAGAACCCAGATCGTACATTCCCTCTTCTCAAGACTGCCTTAAGATTTACAAATCTAAAAGACCCGGTTTTTGGGAATAGTAAGTTGTTAGCTGAACAAACAAAAGCAGAAAGCAAAGAACTTTGAAAGAAAAACAAACCAAACCCAGAAAAGATACCTATCCGCATGGTTTAGAAAATGACTCACTTCCAATACATCCTGCTCAGGGCCAAATGGAGAAAACAACAGCCAATTCATGCAAAGCAATGAGCTGTCAAAAGTGGAGCTGGAATTCAAGCTCACATTTCTCACACACCCAACATGAAGTTTGGTTCATAGAGAGTCTGAGTATAATTTAACCTCATTCGAGGATGGACCATTTTATCTGTAGATAACAAATGATGCTACTTTTGTAAAGCATTAAATAGGGAAAAGAGAGTTGCTTTATATTTGAAACAAATTTATTTGCCTCAGCATTTTCCTAATGTTTTTAAATCCAGTAAGCATTTTTTTTCTTCTTTTTTTAAGAACAGAGATATGCTACTAAATGGCATGGTGGGAATGGCACAGCCAGGTAACTTTCAGAAATGAAGTACCATTATTTATAGGACAAATAGTAGTTAATATGTTAAATGATATTTGACAAGGTCTTCAAAAAAAGAGTGTTTTGATTCTATGTAAAATTAATGGCAGCTAAATCCCAAATTGCTTCCAATCTACTCCATCAGTCTAACTATACAGATGTATTTAAAACTTTACATTCCCAGCAAAATAGAAGATTTGAAATAGCCACGCATAATAAAGCAGCAAACCTCTTCAAAGCCCTCATGCCTTCTGAAACAAAGACAGGATCTGCATAACTTTAAAATAGGCAGGAAGACAGAAAAGCATGATTTGTAATCATAGAATCATAGAATGCTTTGGGTTGGAAGGGACCTTGAGAGATCATCGAGCCCAACCCCCCTGCAGTAAGCAGGGATTGTAATCATGATTAACATGACCAAACAGATGCTTGGGGTTTTTTGGTTTTGTTTTGTTTTTTTTTTTAAAGTAGAACTTAAGCAGTTGAACTAGACAAGGCATAGGGGCTTTGCGAACAGACCAAAAAAAGAGAAAATTATTAGTTCCTACAAAGACAGACTCAATTAATTTAATAAAGATTTGAAACAATACTTTTGACTTTCTTCAGTAAACAAAGAAAACTAATTCCTCAAATCTAAGACAAGATCTCTGTTGTAAACTACTTCAAAGAAAGCTCAGAGGTAACTTTATATATTATATAGGCATAAAAACAACACAGAGAGCAGGAAACCATAGCCAAAAACTTTACTAATTCTAGAATAAGTACTTATGGAAAACTGTGAGATGTGGCTTTTCACAGACTTGCATGGATAGCTGTAGAAGCAACTGGTAATTTATCTGTTCCATTTCACTGTCTTCTTAAGGGGTTTTTACTTCTGCACAGCCACTGGTCTCTGAAACTGACTCTTCCGATGCCAAGGATAACATTTCAAAAGGTACCCAGTTTATTTCAGTAAGGAATGGTTTCTACAAATAAAAGAGTATTTAAGAGTACTAACTTAAGTATTCTGAAGTGCTAGCTTGATCGTACCCATTAGCTCACTGGTTCCCCAGCTTTCGGTAACCATGCCTCACTTGAGAAGCCTGGGGATGGTCTATGCCTTGCTGAGGTCCAGCTCCTGCCACCTCTTCTCCACAGGGCTGCATCCTGTTTGCTGTTACCTCCCTTTCTCTTTGTGCTAGGAGCTTACTCATTCTTCCAGCCTCACTGATTCCTGGCATCTCAACTGGCAGGCAATTTGTCAGCACGTTCACCTAAGCTCCACCTTACCAGAGAGGCCTGCCTCACTACAGATAGGTGATTCCAGTGCTCTCCTTTACTACAAAAACACGCAGTCTACGTATTTTCATAAGCAGTGTCAAAGAAGCAATATATAGACTGGAAGATGCATTATTAATTCAAAAGAATAATGTAGAGAAAAAGAGTAACTCAAATTACAGTCTTGAACTGGGAATTTAAACGTCAGCTAATATTGCTGAATTCAAACTTCCATGTTGTGGTTACGTCTACCTGCGGATAACAGATCCAGGAACAGTGTTTTAGATTCGCACAGACCCTAGAAATGTGCGATAAATAGCTATACATATAGCCAAAGACAGAACCTCAGCTCAATAAATCTAACTTATTTGCTCGTAAACTTTGTAATACAGTTCAAGAACTACTTATTTCTAGTAACGCCCATCATGATACAAAAACAATATATGCCACAAAATCACAGGAAAGAAATTCAAAATGCACAGCAGAATGACAGGGAGAAAAAAAGAAAGGCCTAAATTTAAGCTATGAATGCCTTTTCCGCTAAAAGAATAATCACTGTATGCTACCAGCAAACCCTGGTATTGGCACAACTCAAGACTGCTTTTCCATCTGTGAATCTACTAAGTCTATTAAGATCGTGTAATGATCTCATTCTTACTAGCATTTCCTGCTCTTAGCCAAGCCATCTCCATTACATTTCATTTAACTATATAGTCCCTATATATACTTATAGAGAAAATACAGCACTTACATGCACACGTGTATATTATTATTATTATTTTATTTCAATTATTAAACTTTATCTCAACCCCTAAGTTTTCTTACTTTTGCCCTTCCGATTCTCTTCCCTAACCCACTGGCGGGGGAGGGTGAACGAGCAGCTGCGTGGGGCTTGGTTGCTGACTAGGGCTAAACCACAACACACTCTATAAAAACTAACAGCATTATTCAAACTGCCCAGTTACTGTGCGTATATAGCTATATGGTATAGCTATACAGCTATATATAGCAGATAGGCTAAGTAAAACGATTCTATTGGGGTTTTTTTGAAACTTGAAAGAACAGTTTTCCTCACTGCAAATATTAGGCATTCCTCTTCCCAAAAGCTAATGTAGAAATTATTCCCCAGGAAAAAAAAAAAAAAAATCCAAGAAATAAGTAACATTTTATACATTTACCTGCCCTGCCACTGCAGCAAAATAACCGTACAAAGGATCCTGAGCTTGTCCAGGGAATGCTGGTCCTCCTGGAGCTCCTCCATACTTTAGAAATCAAGAAGAAAATTAATTTTAAATCCATGATTCAGTTAACTGTTAAGAAACTGCAGCGTTTGTACTTAAGAATCAACTTGTGTTTTTATATACACACCGTGCAAAAAAGTCAAACCAAGCAAAAAAGACATAATCTTGGTATCGATATACTAATTTATTATCATTTAAGCAGATCAGTGTAAAACCTTGCAGAGGAGCAATCCACTGATCTAGATGCAGTACGGTGTATCTCATCAAGGTTGAATTTTAGTCTACTACTAGCAGAAAACGGGGTACCGAAGATAAGGCACTGAAGATTTTTCTTTCCACTTAAAAAAAGCTGAGCAAGACAGATCGCTCGGGAAAATACTTGGAATATGCATTAAGCATGGGAATTTTTAAAGAAAACTGATTCTTAACTGAAAACCATGGAATGAGAGAAGTTAATCCTGTCTGACTGAGTCGAGCCAATAATCTGTGTGACACAGCCTATACCCATCCTTTGCGGAGAAAAGAATATTCCCTTTTTGGAGACGGACAGAGTTTGATCAGGTGTACCTTGCTCTCCGAAGCCGCTTAGCCATTTATCGGCCCCAGGGGGAGAAGACAGCCTTACACCAGGTATTAGACACAAGACCTCCCTCGGGGGATGGCGTGGGGAGCGGAGAAACACCCGCAGAAGTGACTGTCGCCCACCAGCAGCACCCGCCGGGC